ACACCGGCCCTAGAATTTTAGAGGCCCTAAAGGAGATTTCATAAACAGCCCCAAAAGATTGACTGCTCATAACTAGATGAAGATGAACACACTTCATTCTTTTAAATGTAGGGTGGAAGAAATTACATGTGTACATGTGTAACCACACAACAAATGAATTTGTTTTCAACTTGTGCAAATTATCCAATAATATTAATATGTCAAAATATGATCTAAAGGATGCAATGACACATAGCTAGAAAGTTAATATTTAACATGGAAGAACTGGGGGCAGTTTAGACCTTTCATCGATTTTGTGTTAAGATAAAGTAAATTAAAACACCACTTATAATTATTTCCAATGTTGTGAGAAAACATCAGGTTCTTTGTAACCAAAGCTATTATAAATGACATTGCAGTTTTACTTTTTAATTTGAGAAGCAAACAGCAAGTAAAGCTTGTTCTAATAAAAAACACATAAAATAAATAGACTTGTTACGTTTTAGCTGCTGTTTGCCAGGTGAAAATTACTGCGGCTACATTCAATTTAATTTGTTCAAAATGAAATGCTAACTCCAAGTTGCAAAACAACAACAACAACAACAAACAAAACAAAACAAAATGCACACATACACACACAAAAACTGGCAGGTAGCTAACAACCAAAGCTAACAATACAATCAAATAGGTTACTTGGTTATTAATTATGTTTACAGTTTGTCTTGAGCTGGCTAACAAGCTGAGGAAAAACAACCTGCCGTTCAGGTTCAAATGAACTGTTAAATATTTACTGTTAAATGTGTTCAAACACAATAAAAACCACATCGCTTCATCCTTTCTTACTTTTTTGTCATCTTGAGTGCCGCCTCTAAATGTTTTTTTAGGAGCCATTTGTGCAACATTAAGGTAATCACACATGTGTGCTGAGACGTAGCGTTATGATGGCACTGCTCCGATCTTACCCAACCATTAGCCCCAGAAGTCCTGTTGTATTGTCTTTACCTGACAGTATGAAACGCCTTGAGGCAACTGTGGTTGTGATTTGGCGCAATATAAATAAAACTGAAAAGTCAGCAGATTCTCGGGATTTAAATGATCCTTGTGTGAACTATATCAACGTTCAGTATACACAAACATCTTTAACATGCTGGTTCAGATGCTTATCCCAGTGAAAATGCCTTTTTACTGTTAGTTTTAAATCAAAATGAAAGTTTAAACCAAGTATGACACATATGAACATCAAAAAAAATAAAGACAAGCGAATGATTCAGTTGAATATATGCTCCAGTGAGACATTAAGGTTCACTAAAACTATTGACGAATAAACAGTTCATATGTCAGCAGTGCTGAAAACATGTAGGAGCAGAACTTCAGATCCTGCAGTGTGTGAAACAGGGAAGGATGTTTTACATTTGTGATGATTCTGTTTGTAATTACAGGAGCTGCCCAACGACTCAGACCTCAGCACCACCCAGTGACAAAGACAGATCATCTTATATGTTCACTCTTTGTAACAACTCTAAAACTAACTGATGAAAAAAGTACAAACACTTAAGTTTTGTTTCAGAAAGCTGCTGATCTCAGGCCTGCACAGATTCTGCTTTTAACACTGAGTGTACTCAGCTGCATGAAAAGCACATGAGATTTTCTCTGCATTAAATAAAACCAGATGGAAGGTCAAACATCTTCACTTGTATGTTGAACTAAAAACACTGTTTTGCTAATTGTCAGCTGTGTCAGGCTAGGTTAGGACCCAAATGTAGGACTCAGAGACGGAAAACTTACAGCAGCAGCTTTATTGCTGGAGAAACAAGCTAAAAGTAAAATACATGAACACTAAAGAAATAAAAGGCGATCTAGAACTACAATCATACACAGACTAGACCTGACACCAAACAGAGGGACACTGAGGACTTAAATACACAGGCAGGATAACGATGAGGATGGGGACCAGCTGTCTTCTCAGCTGGTCCCCATCCTCATCCGGGGACGTATCTGACATAACAAGACAAAGAGGAAGCAAAACTGAATACAGTGAGTGCAGGACAAGGACTATCAAAATAAGACAGGAAGCACGAAGACGTAGACGAAAACACACAAGCTTAACACTGAGAACAGG